AAGGGTCTGTTTCAGTGCTGATGACTTTAAGTCACCAAGTTTTATTGGAAAAGCTGGCTCCTTCTCAAGGACAATTAACAATGGGCATTAATGCTGCTTTAACTGTATGCACATATCCTGTAAATGAATTAAAAGGAAAAAAATATTGAGGCTGATACCATGCGAAAGGTAAAACAGAGAAGCAGTAACTTGTAAAGTGCTGTATGAATTTTATTATATATCATGAATATTCAAAAGAAGTTGGTAGAAGATACTTGGTCATTTTTTGGTTTGTGAGTAATCCACTCAATTGTGCACAGCCGTTTAGTTGCAGTGGGTTAGCTGATCACAACTGGGTTTTTAGTAGGGGCATCACAATTGTGCTCAGTAACTCTAGCTGAGGGAGGGAAAGAAACAGTTTACACAAAAGTATGATAGAAGTATGACAACAAAAGTAAAGTGGACCAGACAAAGTCTTCAGTTGTGTAGTTTTATGCCCATGTTCATGTGTATTAGTCTTAAGACATCCTTTCTCTAATAAGCAGACCACAACCGCACACAAAACTCCAAATGTGCAAATGCAGCAAGACATCATTGCTCCTGTACTCAAATCCTCACTATGAATGCCAACAAGCCGTTGCCTTCTTCACTACCTACTGTACCTGCATGTTTACTTTCAGCAACTGGTGTACGAGGGCGCACATGTTTCATCTCCTGCTTTCCCAATCTATTGCCATTTAAATATCTGCCTTCGTGTTTTTACTACCAAAATGGATAACCTCACATTTGTCCATATCATAGTTCATCTACTATGCACTCACTCAACTTGTCCAAATCATATTGAAGCATCTCTGTATCCTACTAATAGTTCACCTTCCCCCCTAGATTTGTGTCATCTGCAAACTTTGATATGTCACATTAAGCTCCCTCATCTAAATCAGAACACATACATTGTGAGTAGCTGGGATCCAAGCTCTGATCTCTGCAGTATCCCATCTAGTCACTGGCTGACACTCGGAACATGATTTTTATTCCGACTCTTTCTTTCCTGTCTGCCAAAAAAGGAAGAGGACTGTGACCAATTCTAAATAATTTAAATCCAGTGACCTCACGGGGTTTGGAGTCAATGTTGAGGTCATCCAGAGCAATTCCCTGCCAACTTTATACCACCTTGCCACCACTTCTTACAGGCCCACTGATCATGTTCTTAACTGTGACTGCCTGCTTCTCCCATCCTACTTCTATTTTGTTCTCTTTATACTTCAAAACTATATTTAAATGTATGGGCTAGGAAATTTCCTGCTGATTACTACCCATTACCCCACCTCAACTAATAAATCAATACTCCTTCATGTTGAGCACCAGTTGGAGAAAGCATGGAACGTGGAAAGGGAAGGCTCTGTCCACTGGCAGAGGACATCAGCGACAGTGGCTCAGTAGCACCGCTACTGACCAAGCTGGCTGATCACTAAAGGCTATGGCTGCTCAATTGTGTCTGCAGCAGGTGGTGAAGGTATTGACAAGAGGAACAAACTTATTTGGCCTCATCCTCATGAAACTACCTGTTGCAGATTTCAAACAATCTAGCAACTCAAAACTGGGTATCCATGAGGTGCTCTGGGCCATCGGTAGCTGCAGAATAGTATTCAATCATAATCTATAGCCTCATGGCCTGATAAATGCTCCACTCTACCATAACCATCAAGCTGAGAGTTCAATCTTGGTTTAATAAAGACTGCAAGATGGTCTAGAAGGAGCATCACCAAGCATACCTAACCAAAAAAAAGGTGAGAATTTGGTGAAGTTACTATATAGGACCAGTTGCATGCCAAACAGCAAAAGTGACATGCAATAGTCAGGACTAAGTGGTCCCACAACCAATGTCTCCAGTTTAAGCATTATAGTCCTGCCACATCCAGCTGCGAATAGTGGTGGCCAATTTAACAAACCAATGGAGTACAAGACCCCACAAATATCCCCATCCTGAATGACAGAGAAGGCCAGCACATCAGTGTAAGAGACAGAAGAACCAAAATGATGATCCATCTGAGCCTTCTCCTAAGGTTCCTGCCATCACTATTGCCAGTCTTCAACCAACTCAATTCATTCAGATTCATAATAAGGGACAGCTAAAGGCACTGGATACTGTAAAAGTTAAGAGCTGTGATAACATTCCAGTAATAGTACTGACCACCCTTAAATGAGCCATACCAATAGACAAGATTTTTCAGTACATCTACATCACTGGCATTGATCCAACAATGGAAAACTGCCCAGATATGTCAAACAGCATGTGCAAGGAACAGCGCATTACAAGTATCCTCTGAACTCCAAAATGATGTAATGTTAATTACAATTTCTGTGCTCATTTCAGGGGCACCCAATTTATACCCCCACCTTTGTGTTCCTATGATCAATACATCTCTCTGAGTTTCATATGCACCCTCAATAATGCTGTCACCTGGATTTCTAAAGAATAAATTATAATACTTACCAAATAGTCATTAAAATTCACACACTCTAGACAAACTGTCAGTTTGCATTTTGCTTTTTCAAGCATGGCTATGAATTTGTTTCAGAGATAGTAGGAACTGCAGATGCTGGAGAATCTGAGACAACAAGGTGTAGAGCTGGATGAACACAGCAGACCAAGCAGCATCAGAGGAGCAGGAAGGCTGACGTTTCCGGCCTAGACCCTTCTTCAGAAAAAGGGTCTGAAGAAGGGTCCAGGCCTGAAATGTCAGCCTTCCTGTTCCTCTGATGCTGCTTGGCCTGCTATGTTCATCCAGCTCTACACCTTGTTATCTCTATGGCTATGAATTTCTTCCTTTTACACTAAAAAAAATCATGATTCCAGAATGTAGTTAATCTCAATTTGAAATAAAATTAGATAACAGTGGAAATACTCAGAATGTCAAGTGGCATCTACAGAAAGGATAACAAATTTAAGCCTGACATGCTGAGCATACCCAGTGTTTTGTGTTATTAGTTCCAATTTTCAGCCGCCACAGTATTTTGCTTTTGTAACATAGTGAATCTCGACTAGCCATATGTTCAATAGCCCGTCAAATTTCTTCAGTCATGAAAACAAATGTTTTAGAATGATGAACAAGTTCCCTTCAGAGAACTAAATATGACAAATTAAAACATAGAACATAGAACAGTACAGCAAGTACAGGCCCTTCGGCCCACGATGTTGTGCTGACCTATTACCCTACTAAGATCAATCGACCCTGCATACCCTACATTTTACTATCCTCCATGTGCCTATTCAAGAGTCGCTTAAAAGTCTCTAAAGTATCGGACTCCGCTATCACTGCCAGCAGCGCATTCCACACGCCCACCACTCTGTGTGAAGAACCTACCCCTGATATCTCCCCTATACCTTCCTCCAATCACCTTAAAATTATGCCCTCTTGTAATAGTCATTTCCGCCCTGGGAAAAAGTCTCTGGCTATCCACTCTATCCATGCCTCTCATCATCTTGTAAATCTCTATCAAGTCACCTCTCATCCTTCTTTCTTCGCTCCAATGAAAAAAGCCCTAGCTCCCTCAACCTTTCCTCATAAGACCTGCCCTCCAGTCCAGGCAGAATCCTGGCAAATTTCCTCTGCACCCTCTCTAAAGCTTCCACATCTTTCCTGCAATGAGGTGACCAGAACTGAATACAATAATCCAAGTGTGGTCTAACCAGGGTTTTATAGAGCTGCAGCATAACTTCCTGGCTCTTAAACTCAATTCCCCTGCCAATGAAAGCCAACACACCATACGCCTTCTTTAAAACCCTATCAACTTCAGTAGCAACTTTGAGGGATCTATGGACGTGGGCACCAAGATCCCTCTGTTCCTCCACACTTCCGAGAATCCTGCCATTAACCCTATATTCTGCATTCAAATTCGACCTTCCAAAATGAATCACTTCACACTTTTCTGGGTTGAATTCCATCTGCCACTTCTTTGCCCAGCTCTGCATCCTGTCAATGTCCCGTTGCAACCTACAACAGCCCTCCACACTGTCCACAACTCCACCAACCTTCGTGTCATCGGCAAACTTACCAGCCCACCCTTCCACTTCCTCATCCAAGTCATCTATAAAGAACACAAAAAGCAAAGGTCCCAGAACAGATCCCTGCGGCACACCACTGGTCACCGAGCTCCAGGCTGAATACTTTCCATCTACTACCACCCTCTGTCTTCTACTGGACAGCCAGTTTTGTATGCAGATAGCCAAATTTCCCTGAATCCCATGCCTCCTTACTTTCTGAATGAGCCTACCATGTGGAACCTTATCAAATGCCTTGCTAAAATCCATATACACCACATCCACTGCTCTATCTTCATCGATGTGTTTTGTCACATCCTCAAAGAATTCAATAAGACTTGTGAGGCATGACCTGCCCCTCACAAAGCCAGAAAGTCCTTGCACTCTCAGGCATGTCAAACAATAAAACAAGTAAGCACAGAGCCAGAGCTGTGAATCTCAAATTTTTCCCAGATTCCAGGAATTATTTATTAAGGTTAACAGTGAAATATGATTACCATCAAGTGTGCCTGAGGCACTGCCACCAGATTCATCGTGTGTTCTTGAATGTGGAGATATTCTCGCAGGATGGGAGCTCGTAGGTCAAACAATCTTCTTCAATCACACTTCAATCAATACATAAAACTTATATACAGTGCAACTGTCTAGTTTTCTTACGTTTCATTTTTTAAAATTTGATTTGATTTATTCTCACCTGTACCCAAATACAGTGAAAAGCTTTGTTTGCGAGCAGTACAGGCAGATTGTAGTAAGCAAGGACATACAGATCATAGGGTGGGAAAAAAAAGACTTGGTCAGAGTGAGGCATACAGGTTACACTGCACATACACTAGGCAAGATCAACATTAACAAGATCGACATTATTTGAAGTTAGAGAGTCCATTTGTCAGTCTAATAACGGCAGAGATAAAGCTGTTCTTGAACTTTTTGGTGCATGTGTTCAAGCTTCTGTATCTTCTGTCTGATGGAAGAGGTTGTAGGAGAGCATTACTGGGGAGGGATGGGTCTTTGATGATGTTAGCAGCCTTTCCGGGGCAATGAGAGATGCAGATAGAGTCCATGGATGGAAGATTGGCTTCCGTGATGGCCTGGGTTGTGCACACAACTTCTGTAGTTTCTTACAATCCTGGGCAGAGCAGTTGCCGCACCAGGCCGTTATGCACCTGAATAGTATGCTTTCTATGGTGCATCTGTGAAAGTTGGTGACGGTCCTTATCAACATGCTAAATTTCTTAAGCTAGAAGAGCATTGTTGTACATTCTTCACTATCGCATCTACCTGGGAAGTTGAGGACTCGTTGTCGATTATTGTCACTCCTAGGAACTTGACACTCTCAACACTCTCAACCGCCACTCTGGGTTTTATTGTTATCATTTGACTTGTATACTGCTTAGCATGCACTGGATCTAACTGAATGAGAAGAAATGTTTCATAAATGGAAATACAACCCTTAAAATTAGAATTCTTGATTACTTTGACAAAGTTAAAGATATTGGTATTGAATAATGAGTATTATTTAAATAGAGAAAAACTGCAGAAAGCTGCAATACAGAGACTAGATATACATGTGTACAACACAGAAAGCTAGCACATAGGTGCAGCAGGTAATCAGAAAGGAAAATGGAATGTTGGCCCCTATTTCAAGACAGCTAGAGTCATGAGTAGGAAAGTCTTACTGCAACTGTTCAAGGTGCTGGTGAGACCACATCTGGAATACAGTGAGCTGTATTGATCCCCTTATTTAAGGAATGATATTCTTTAATTGGAGGCAGTGCAGTGAGGATTCATTAGGATGCTCCCGGCATAGAGGGATTGATTTTTGAGCAAAAATTAAACAGGTTGGGACTCTAAATACTGGAATTAAGAAGAATGAAAGGTGATCTTATTGAGACATGTAGAATTCTTAAGGGGCTTGATAAATGCTTCCTGGCATGGGAGAGTCCAGGACCAGAGGGCATAATCTCAGGACAATGGGACGCCAATTTAAGACTGAGATGAGGAGGAATTTCTTCTCTCAGAGAGAAGAGTCTTTCAAACTCCTTGCCACAGAGAACTATGGGGCCAGAGTCCTTGTGTATACACAAGGCTGAGATAGATAGATTCATGATCAGGTGGGGAATCAAGGGTGTGGAAAAGGGCAGGAAAATGGTCATGAGGAATATCAGACCAGCTACGATCCTGTTGAATGGTATAGCAAACTCATGAGGCTGAATGGCTTACTCCTGTTCCTATTTCTTATGAACTTAATGAGGAAGACAATCTAGTCCATACGGTCCAGTCTCTGCTGCTTGATGCTGTTTTAAAGCTTTTGAGTTTTTGGAGGCTTCTGTAACTGTGGGCAGGAAATCTTCCCAGGCCCTGAACAATGTAGGCAATAGTGAGAAGGTTAGGAGAATCACTTGAGGTTGCCAGTAAGAGGATTCCAACATCGAGAGCAAAAGTCCCAATTTTTAACCAAGTGTTGAACAGCCAGATGAGATTCTCGCTGGTGTGAAAAGAAAGGCCTATATGCATGCATCCTCAGTATGACATAATCTTGCCTCATCGATGTGCACTTTCCTACTCTTCCATCTGCCAGATAAAAACAATTCCTGACATGAAAGCCAATGCAGTAATCTAGTGACTCCATCTCACATTTCCTCCTCCTGACCTCTGTCTTTGACACCAGACATCAACATCTCATGGCATACTCCAAGGGCAGCAACTGCAATGCATCTTCAGTCCACCATAACTTTCAGGGTGTCAATTGCCCTTTGCCTAACATATCTAGGCAATTGAAATGAACTAGGCAGGGCAGTTGCTGACTGCTGGTGCTGGACCAGGTGCACGGCTGGGCTTTAAGGATGGCACCAGTGCCAGGAATCATGGGAGGTTTGGTAGTGGCCAGTATTCCACCTGTGGTGAGTAGAAGAATATGAGTGGGGAATACAATGAGGGGGCACCATAGGGGTGTGGTGCACAAGTGATGATGCAAATTTGAAAAGATAATGCAAGAACACTTGCTAAGCTTTGCAGAGAAACTCTGCATGAAACTTTGCAAAAAGAAAAAATACTTAGCCAAGATTTGGTAAAATTCAGCCCTGTATTTCAGTTATCTGTCATTCTGTCCCATCAAGTTCCAAATGCTGTGATAGGAATTTATGTCAGTGGGTATTTCAGGACCAAATGTAGTGTCACAACAAACTCAAACAGTGGGATGTGCGCTCAGCAAGTCCACTGGGTCAGTGTCAAGTTTCCACCATGGTAAGCATTTTTTTAAAAATGGGGTAATGGGCTATGGGAAGCTCGGGCAAGGTCAGCATTTATAGCCCAATCATAAAGATAGTGGGTTGGCTAATGTAGGCAACAGTAACCAGAAAATCTGGTTAGGGAAATTGATCCAGTACCCATAAGGAAATCAATCACAGCAATTTACATGCAGACAAACACTTGCTGAGGAGCTAGGATATTAGGAGTCATAACCCATGCAGTAATGAGGAATATGACTCTGTCTATGAAAAGAGAAGCCTGTCCAATGGTGAGGAAGAGAAAGTGTTAAATTGTGAATGAAAAAGGTAAAGTCACCATGGTCTTATCAGACCACAGAGTTGCTTTCTCATTCAAGAGAGTGCGATAGAGTACGAGACAACTGGTGAGACATCCCTGGTGGTGGTTTAACCTCAGGGTGACCATGCCTCAGGTGAGGGGAAAGGTTGAGACGAGGAATCCTTCATGGTATCAGAGATATGTTATATTGATATATCAATTTCCACCAGCAGTCCACTTTGTTATACATAGTACAACTTAATATGATTAAATCGAAATTGAGTAAGTATGATTAATATTATTGGCATATAAAATGATACGTGCAGAAAGAGTCCATTCAGCCCAATATGTCAGTGTGGACTCTCTAATAAAGTATTAATGAGATGCATTCCTTATTTCTCTTCATCCATTCCCCCTTCAAGCAATGGTAGTACAATATTAAGTGATGTAAATGCAAAAAGCAATCTAATCCTATGTACACTGAGGCTAGAAGTGATACAGTGTAAAATCAGTGTGATTTGGTTTTTGATCAAACTGTAAAGCAGTTGGACACTATATTGGATTATTTATCCTTTTCTAGCAACAGAAAAATCCAGCACCCCATCTTCATTCAGCATCTCTTTCAATTAAATGCTGAGCAACTAGATGTTGCACAAGTACTTCAGTTGAATTTTAGGGATATTCCTCAGTTTTCATATTCCCTGAGGCCTCAACAAATCCTGTATAATTTAGTGAGATTGCCAAGGTAGAATTTTTAAAAAATACTCCATGCCATCTATTTTTGCCTCAGTGCTAAGACAAAGTTCTACATTTTTTTTGTAATTGTCAATGGGAGGGCAATTAGCACTAAACAAAAGGGACAGCTTTCATTATAAGGACTGAGTGTTGACACAATGTGCACTCAGCTCAAACGTTAGATAACTTGCAAAGTCAACCTACATTTTGTTGCAACAAGGCATCTCCACTTTGGCGAGGTTCTTTTGCTGCATAAAATTGCCATTTCCCACTAACCATCCACATGCCATCTGTGTAAAATGCCAAATTAGGGGCACCAGGCACTGAATTGAGATTGTATATCTCATGTCACATAGGGTCATATGGCTAGACAACAGTAGACTTTAATCTCATTCAAAGGCAGGTCTCATGGATGAAAGGTTACTTTCAAGCCCAGTGCTGTCACTTACACAATTGTCTTACAAACTATAACAAAGAATCAACAAGAATTTTACCATTGATTCTTGTAGGCTCAAGCTTATAGGTCACCTTATTGTAGAAAAACACTCATCTGGAAACTTTAGTCCTTCAAAGAAATAATATTAATTGTTTCCTTTCGTATAATTTATCACATATGATTGTTACTTTCTTCCCATGAAATGCATCATCTCTGCTACAGAATTCAGAGGAAAGAAATATTATGCAATATTAAGTTAAGTCCTCCAATTAAATAAGTTTTTATGTAAGAATGTGAAAATGAAGTGAGAGAATGAGAGAAAATAGTAGCGCGACTTTTATTTGAAAAAGATAAGAATAGAGACCATGAGATGCTACTACCCTAAACCAGCACAGCATTTTTATTTTAAAAGATTTATTTCAAACATCGGTGAAGGAACATTTTTACTCTTCTTGTTCCACAAAAAATGGCTGTAAAAAAAAATCTACCCTACCGGAAACAGCAGCTATTGCTTCCACTTCACTGCTGGGTTTCTCCAGCCCTGTTAAACCCAGTCAGTGGATATTAAAGTTAAATTAAGCCACAATTTTTCCGTGCGAGATAATATAACAAAGAAGCATAAAAAGAGGCATGCCCGCTATATGACCATTGATTTTTAATTTTTACTCGCTCTCACCCTGTCATGCTCTATGGTTGCGCCAGCTCACTACACTATATGAGCTACTGTTCATGATGAAGATTGCTGCCGCTAATGTCTGTAGCAGTTCCTCAGAACTGAGGAAGGGTCACCGGACCCAAAACGTTAACTCTGATTTTTTTTCACCGATGCTACCAGACCTGCTGAGCTTTTCCTGCAACTTCTGTTTTTGTTCCAACGTCTATTGTCTGTTAGCAGTTAGTTACAGATTACGTTGGTAGACATAGTTAGAGACTTTGAAAAGAAGCATGTTAGGTCTCACTCTTTCGAGATCCTCAGCTTTTCTGCTCAAATGTCCATATGTCAAAGTGGATGGCGCTAATAGACTCCTTAGAATTAATCCTTTCAGACCCATATCCATTTCCCACTTATTGTGGAATGGGAGGGTGGTGTTGTCGATGTCAAGTTTAAACTGTTCTAATGGTTTATATTAAGCATTTATTATCTCTCAAGTAAACGCTGCGGCTCTAGGGGAACATATAAATGCCTTATACAGGAAGAGTTTCTCCAAAATGGATTTCGTTTGTAATTTCAGAAGCTTGGATGAAAGAGTTAAGGCTTAGTTTTTAACTACCTGAGTATTATGGGGTGAAGGGAACACTGTCAGAGCTGAAGATATATTCCCATGGTAGAGCCTCAGACAGATTGACAGACAGGATGGGAACATTTCTGCTGAAAGGTCTGTGCTTTCGTACTGTCAGAAGTTAAAAAAAAACACTGAAATTTGCGGATAGGTTACAGAAATTTGGTATTTCAGTTCTCAGGACCATAGGATCTGTAACAAGGAAAAAACATCCACACTGTTCTGTACAATCATGGAGATGTTGTGAAGATGTATTATCTAACATTAATTTATAATACCATTTACTGGACACATCCGAAAATTTTTGGAAAGAACATAGAAAAACAAAAGATATCGGCTATATCACCGATAGTCCTATTTGCAAGGAACAAACTGCTAGGATGGAGATGCGAAATCTGCAACATTTTCAGAGATAACACATGACCCAGTACGTGAATGGAAACAAGATACCTGCACTAGATTTGAGCACTGAAAGGCTAAGATAACACAAGAACACAACTTCTGTTCTCTCTCTAACACTGAAAACCCTCTCATCAAATTTTGTAAATTGAAAATCCACTAGAAGTGCTTATCTCACATGGAGGATTCCTAAAGGAGAATTTGAAACTTACAACACTGTCTACAGAATAGGAATTCAGCCAGTTATAACTTGTTCAGGAAGACACCCAGTGTCAACAGCACGTATGCAAAATGACATTTGGTACAATCTGTAAAGGTGTGTCATAGCACCTCTGAATAGGTTGATTTTTTAAAAATCTAATCCTTTTCTCTGATTGTAACTGTTATTTGAGACAACTCTCTGCAGGGCTTTAATATCTTTTTCCCATAAACATGGAGGTTGTGTGTGTGTGTTTGTTAGTTTTCAAGAAGGGTAGATGTATATATTTGTAAAGTTTAAATTTCTTTATTAATAACCTTTATATATTTGCTCAAGTAAGTTTTGGCTACAATAAACAAGTTCTTTATTTGTTACTTAAGGAACCTAGCAGACTTGTTTCTGATTCTAAGCTATATACATTGATTTTGTATAATCAGACAAAAGTTACTCTAGCAAATGAGTTCCTGAAGTAACAATAAAGAACTTGTTTATTGCAGACAAAATTTACTGTATTTATATAATTAGGGGTCTTCTTGAGGGTGATTTTCTGAGCTATTGGAACCACCCCGGTCATTCAATGGGCCAACTGAGCTGGAGACTGCAAAGAAGGGTCTACAACAGGGAAAACTACCACTATAGCCCAAATGGACCAATCAGAGGGATGTACACGCTTGCTTTCCCCTTCTCATTTTTAATGTTCACTTACACTTAACCAGTGGGTAGAATGAGAGATTTAGTATTACAGGGCATGGCTGAGGGAAACAAATTAGATACATTCAGATGAAAAGTTAGATAAGCAGGAGAATATGATTATTTTAATTCATTCATAGAATGTAGCCCTTGCTGGCTTGGGCAGCATTTATTGTACATCCCTAATTGCTGTTGAAAAGGTGGTGGTGAGCTGCCTTCTTGAAACAGTACATTCCATGGGTTGTAGGTACACCCACGGTGATTTTAGGAACAAAGTTACAAAATTTTAACTTGGCGACTGAAGAAATAGTGATATAGTTCCAAGTCAGGATGATATGTGGCTTGGAGGAGATATTGTAAATGGTGGCATTCCCATGAATCTGCTGTCCTTATCTTTCTGGATGCAAGAGGTGCTATCAAAGGAGGCTTAGTAAGTTTCTACAATGCATCTTATAAGCAGAGCAGAAAGCTGTCACTGTGTGTCGGTGCTAAAGGAGTAAATTTTAAAATTGATGGAAGGGGTGCCAATTAAGCATGATACTTTGTCTTGGATAATGTTGAGATTCTTGAGGCTTATTGGAACTGCAATCAAGTATTCCATCACATTTTTGACTTGTGCCTCATAGATGGTAGTTAGGCAATGGGAGACATGAAGTAAAATATCCACTGCTTTGAGGCCATGTATGGGTTTGGGAGATGTGTAAGGTTTTGAAAACACACGGGAAAACTAAGCTCTTTATTTCTGTTACGCCGTTTGCATATTTCTACTCATTACTGCTATATTCTTGTTGACACTGATCTATTCAAATTCAACAATATTCATGTGTTAAAATCAAAGTTTCATAACCACAACTGTTCAAGTGTATCTATCTCTCACGCTATTACAGAACAATAATGTTATTGCTTACTTTTATATAGTTGTTGAAGTGATTGAATTAGAACCTCTTTTGGACTTCCCACCATTCTGTATGCATTGCTGGCATGGAGTTCACAGTCTCTCTGAAGTATTGTCACGCTTGTTTCCTGAATTCACAGTATTGCCACTTCTTCTTGCTGCAGCAATGTCTCTATTACACAATTCGCAAAGGACTTGGAGCATCTGGCCAGTAAACCTGGTTTGGTTTATTGACTCACTGATCAATTTCAACTAAAAAAGTATCCATGGCTACATAATGATATATTCACACTTTATATGAATTCAACAGTTCATTCACTTCTATGAAATATAAAAGATTCATTGCTGTGTACACATTGCCATTGTATTTCATTCCCAACAGTGGAGGTGAATTTTCAAAGATACATGTTTGGAAACCAGCACTCCTTTAAAGTGTGTTATGGTTTCAGGTTGTTCATGACACTTTTTGACAAAAAAGACAAGATGACTCTTTTTTGCTTACTATGATATTTCAGTCATTCCTGTGATGTAAAGGTAGACCTGCCATTTTGAAAAATCTTAAGATGAATTAGCCCTGAATTTCCCTTGGCCACAAAGGGCAATTCCAGTGTAAATTGGCTGAGAGTGCATTGGAAGGCACTGAATTTGGACAGGATCTGAAAATGATAAGTTTCCACCTTTGTTTTCAGTATCTAATACAGCCTGTTGCAAAAAGTACTTTTATTTATCCAAATTTTCTCCTGAAGTCTGAGGAGGTGAGGTTGAGAGATGCCTTGCCCATGCCCAAACTTCATTGGCTCATCTAGCCACCTGAACTTCTGAAAGCTGAGGAAATAATTTAGCGTCCAGATACCTTCAGGGGCAGCAGTAGAATCCAATAGAATCTCCAAGACAAAACGTGGCCCTGAAAGACCAGACGTATTGGTACCATGTTATTTTAATTTGTTCTCGTAGAAAGCGATCTACTCAAGTATCTACTCAAATATTCATCACCTGTCCCCAGCAGATACTTGCCGGTTAAAGAAGGCAGCTCATCACCACCTTTTCAAGGATAATTACATCTGTGTATAAGTTAGGTACATCCTGTGGCACAGTGGTAGTGCTCCTACCTTTGAGTCTGGAGGTGTGGGTTTGAAGACCCACCTGTTCTAGCAGTGTGTCATAACATCTCTGATCAGGTTGATTACGAAAGCTATCCATAAATACTTAACAAGGATCAGCCAGTAGAACTGCACTGACACCTGGGGACTGAAAATCATATCACCTTCATCATAATTATTTATTTTTACAAAATAACTTATTTTAAAAGCTTCTATACTCAAGCAAACTTATGTCTTGCTGATCTGCTCTGAAATACTTTTCATGTCAAATCACCAGGATCAATGACAGCCAGTGTTCACATTTACCTGAAACTTCAACTAATGTCCTTTATTCTCTTTTCATACCTAGTCGTATGAGGCAGACAAAGTACATACATAAGCCTGCTTCCATTGTTAGATTTTCCTGGAATGGGTCATAAGCCTGTTGCCAGGGGGTAAAACTTGAAGGGTACCATTCTGCATCAAGCAAGGCTGACTATTCAGGTCAGACAGGCTTACCTTATGCCATCCCAAAAGGGAAAAAATAGTAAAACTGACAAACAAAACATGTTGTCCCAACTTGCTTAGTATACATCAAAATGGTGTCCCATTATACTCATTTCCAGGTTTTACTGTTATTCCCTCTGGGGTCAACCTGTTTGGTCACATTAGAAAGACACTTTCCATTGCCATTTAATCCTGGAGCGGGACTCAAAGCCAGTGCATCAGGTTCAGAGACGGAGATGCTAACGCTGTGCCACATGACTTCCATTCAGTCCCATATTGCAGGTGCTGGAAATCTGAAATTAAAAGAAGAGAAACTGCTGGAAAAGGTCAGCAGGTCTGGTAGAACTTGTGGAGAAAGAAACAGGTTGAGTACAATGCTTGCTTGGAACTTTGTTGACCAATGTTAAACACAAAATAGTTCAGTCATATGTGTCAGTATTATACAAACATAGTTTTTAGCCAAAATGAGCATATTTGTGTTCTGAATCCCTGTCAAGTCACACATGTGGTTTGTAAGAGGTGTAGAGTAGGTTTGTGGAACTAAAAGGTATTTGGTTAAAATTGATGAAAAGGTGAGAATGGTCCCCGTAAATCACATGATCTCTGTGAGAAATAAGCCAATTAAGAGCTCATACCAACATGCAAACCAGTGAGATTTAAATGCCTGAAATATTAAACTCTGAGAAAGTAACAGGGACTTGAGTAATAAACCAAAATCTACAGTCCAGAACATAACTCTACATCACAATCTCCAAGGAGATCTGAAAGGCTTTGTAAACCAGTTAATTTGTAGATAGAGTATAAAAGAAAAAAAATTCAGCTGTAATTATGCCTAGTGTACACTTCCACAAAGATTTATTTCACGGTTGAATTTAGTTTCTGAAATAGAAATTAGTTTATTTTAGAAACATTTTAAAAATAGAGTATGAAGTTTATATGTTTGAGGACATATGGTGTGTAATCATATTATTTACTTGAACTGATCATCTTGCAGTTTTGTCTTTTTTTCCCCCCAAAATTCCTCCCAATATGTAATAAGGAAAGGAAAACGTGTTAATGTTCTATGCTGCTTTTAGGGTCTGTTTTAAAAATAAGAACAAAGCTGGATCTGCAAATTTTGTGCACCATACATCTGACCTGTGAGTTAGTAAATATTGTACTGTTTTTAAAGTTTGAAGGTCATCTGAATGTCGTTTTGCGTAAATAATTTGAACAATAAAAAATAGGATTAAGAATTCTGAACATAGACCGCTGACCTGAAACATTGACCCCTTTTACCACCTTTAAGATTCTACCCATTGCACCAACCTTTTGGTCAGCCGACCTAATGTTCTTAAAGGGCTTGACTATGGTTCGTAATACTGTAAAACACCTTGGAAGTTTCATTATGTTAAAGGTGCAATGTAGACATAAGTTGATTCTCCATTGGTACTGACAGGCCTGCTGAGTATTTCTAGCAATGACATGTTTATATCAGGTTTCCGGCTTTTGCTCTGGGATTATGACCCTGAGAGATGACAATGATAACGGACATGTATACATTGTAGTTTGCAAATCCATAGAGATATCTTTAACCAACCTGTTCAGAGATGTTATTACACACCTTTGGAGCAGGTGGCACTTGAACCCTGGTCTCCTGGCTCAGAGTTAGGGACATAACCACTTCGGTACATTTATCCTTGCAAACGCAGATTCCCATGGGGTCACTGCCCCTTTAAGAGTTATGAAACGAAGCGGACGGCGTAGAGCGTAAGCGTCATTCGGAGGATTTTTTTCATTGACACTCGCCGGTTGCCTTACATAACCGAGAGTGCTGGTTTCATCTTCGGATTCTGTCCTTTCGCTCGAAGCCGGTTTTACTCTGTGGGAACACAGCGTTGGCGTTTGCGACTCGCTTACGGATCGGTTTATTCTGTTTCTTCAGACTCCCCAGGAAGATGGCGGCGATGTGCCTGAGGCGTAGCGGGGCCTGGGGTCAGTGGCGGGCGCTCCGTCTCCAGGTGAGGGAGGGTGGCAGCGCGAGCGGTATCCAGTGAGGGAAATGACATCTGACCTTGATGCCGCGTCCTCGCGCAGCCTCCCCCCCGAGGAAGTGGCGGTTGATGCGCGCGTCCTCAATGTGGTGGCCGCTGTGTAAAGGTCGTCAGCGGCGGCATCGAGGGTGCTGGCCGGCATCGAAATCGTGACGACCTGATCAAAGTTAGGGCATCCGTTGGTAATACTCTCTTCCCCCGAGCCTTTCATTTTTGGGTTAAGGGCTTATTTCTATGATTTAAGTACTTGAAACCCCAAGGCTGAGAGTCCAGTGCAGTACTGGGGAAGGGCTGCACGGTCAAAGGTGTCGTCTTTTGAAGTTAAGATCATTTGTCTCCCCTTGACAAAGTTGTACTGACTCAGCGCCATTTTCCCATGCATTTCCAAGTACTCTGCAATATCATCCTTCATACTGGTCTCTCAAATCTTACCAACGGCTGAGATCAGGCTAACTGCCTATGCTTTCCTGTCGTTTGCTTCCTTTCTTAAACATAGGTATTACATTAACCATTTTCCAGTACTTTGAGAGTCTCCCTGGCTGCAGTGATTCCTGAATGATCACCACAAATGCCTCCGCAATCTCCTTCAGAACTCTGGGATGTAGTGATTTATTGACCTTGCAGCTTCCCCAGTATTTTCTCCTTGGTGGTGGCTACTAAACTCACTTGTGTGCTGACTCTTGAAGTTTTGGTATGCCACTGGTTTCTTTCCTGATCAAAACTGATGCAACGTATCCGACCCCACCACCAAAGACGTCTTTCCCTCCCCACCCTTATCTGCTTTCCGGAGGGACAACTCTCCGTGACTCCCTTGTCCGCTCCACACTCCCCTCCAGCTCCACCACACCCGGCACTTTTCCCTGCAACCGCAGGAAGTGCTACACCTGCCCCCATACCTCCTCCCTCACCCCCATCCCAGGCCCCAAGAAGACTTTCCACATCAAGCAGATGTTCACCTGCACATCTGCCAATGTGGTATACTGCATCCGCTGTACCCGGTGTGGCTTCCTCTACATCGGGGAAACCAAGCGGAGACTCGGGGACCGCTTTGCAGAACACCTACGCTCGGTTCGCAATAAACAACTGCACCTCCCAGTCGCGAACCATTTCAACTCCCCCTCCCATTCCTCAGACGACATGTCCATCCTGGGCCTCCTGCAGTGCCACAACGATGCCACCCGAAGGTTGCAGGAACAGCAACTCATATTCCGCTTGGGAACCCTGCAGCCCAATGGTATCAATGTGGATTTCACAAGTTTCAAAATCTCCCCTCCCCCCACCGCATCCCAAAACCAGTCCAACTCGTCCCTGCCTCCCTAACCTGTTCTTCCTCCCACCTATCCCCTCCTCCCACCTCAAGCCGCACCTCCATCTCCTACCGACCAACCTCATCCCGCCCCCTTGACCTGTCCGTCCTCCCTGGACTGACCTATCCCCTTCCTAACTCCCTACCTATACTCACCTTTACTGGCTCCATCCCCGCCTCTTCGACCTATTTGTTTCCTCTCCTCTATCCCTCTTCTATCGGCCTCCCACTCTCTCCCTATTTATTTCAAAACCCCCTTCCCCTCCCCCTTTTCTGATGAAGGGTCTAGGCCCGAAACGTCAGCCTCTCTGCTCCTATGATGCTGCTTGGCCTGCTGTGTTCATCCAGCCCTGCACCTTGTTGTCTCGGATTGTCCAGCATCTGCAGTTCCTACTATCTCTGATGCAACGTATCTATTCACTTCCTCCACCATTTCCTTGTTCCCCATTACCACTTCTCTGGCCTCATTTTCCAGGTCTCCACTTTCCACTCTTGTCTCTCTTACATTTTAGATTTCTAAAACAAATTCTTGTAATCTTCTAAATTGCCACCAAGCTTACTGTCATATTTCATCTTCTCTTGCCTCCTTCCTGCCACCCCCACATACCCCCATATTGCTTTTATAGTTGGCTCTGCTGGTTTTTAAAGTCTTCCCAATCATCTTCATCACATTGTATACTTTTTGTTTTGCTTTTAAGCTGTCCCTGATGTCTCTTGTCAGCCATGGTTGCCTTGTCCTCCCCTTAGTCCTTTTCTTCTTCCTTGGGATGAATTTTTGCTGTGTCTCCCAAATTACCACCAGAAACTCCTGCCCTTGCTGCTCTGCTGTCTTCCCTACACGGCTGCCCTTCCAATCAACTCCAGCCAGCTCCTCCCTCGTCTTTGTAGTTATCTATACTCAATTGTAATGCAATTACGTCTGATTCCAGCTTCTCCCTCTCAAACTGCAGGGTGAATTCTGTCATATAATGGTCACTGCCTCCCTAGGAGTTCCTTCACCTTAAGCTCCCGAATCAAGTCTGCCTCATTACACATAACCAAATCCAGAATTGCCTGCTCCATAGTAGGCTGTACCACAAGCTGCTCCAAAAAAAATCTCATAGACATTCCTGGAATTCCTTTTCTTGAGATCTGCCACCAATCTGATTTTCCAGTCCACCTACACACTGAAGTTCCCTGTGATTATTATAATACTGTTTTTCTTACATTCCTTTTCCATCTTCTGATTTATTTTCTTCCCCACATCCTGACTGCTAGCAGCCCTGTACGTGACTCCTTTCAGCTGGGGTGGGAGTGGGGTGGGGGGGGGGGGTTGTTCCTTTGTATTTCCTCAACTCTCTACTACACAGATTCTATGACACTTCTTGCTATTGATTTTATTTGTTATTAACAAGGCAACCTCGCCCCATCTGCCTGCCCTTTCGATAGTGCATGTATCTTTGGATATTTAGTTCCCAGCCCTGACTACCTTGCATCCCTGTGATACCCACAACAACGTACTGCCAATTTCAATCTGCGCTCTTGAGTTCATTTAGATTATTTCGTATGTTGTGTGCATTTAAGTTGACACCCTCAATCCTGAGTTGACTGTCTCCCTTCTCATAGTTGTCCCCTCATCTGCCTTGCCCAAAATTAGATTCCTAACCCGTTCCATACTCTGTCCTGATGCACATTTTGGAAACTGTAATAACCTCTGCTAAGACCCCCACCACCCCCACCCACCCGCTTTTAACTTTTTCCATTATTTTCAATGCAACTGAACCCATCCCCCCCACTATTTAAAACCCTATCCGTAGCCCTAACTATGCAATTTGCCAGCAGAGCCAACTCTAGCTGCTGCTGGAAAGCACTACATGCATGGTTTAGAGTGACAATCTTCTCTTGTTGCCTTATCATGGATCTGCTAAACACTACCACAAATTTCATGACAAAATATAAGAATCTTGAATTTCTCTTTGAAAGTGGCAAGCTCATTGAATTATTGAGCTAGAATATATGATTTTAAACAGCTGCAAATGCACAGCATGAATGGCTTAATTCCTCCCCCTACCCCGTTCTGAAGAACAGTCACTGGACTCAAAATGTTAACTCTCCACAAATGCTGTTGGACTTGCTGAGTTCCTCCAGCAATCTCTGTTTTTGTCCCACCAGTTTAAAGCTCACCCAAACTTTCCTTATCAGTCATTGACTGAGACGGCTACTCTCAAATTTGTACCCACGTTTTCTGTTAGGTGTTTAAGTTCTGATAATTGGATTTTGGACTCTGCACAGTGATGACCTTTACAACTAAATCAGTGGTACAGTTTTGTTATTCTTCCAACTGTTGCCTTTGACGGCCAACCATGCCATCCTCTCAAAACTAGCTAGCTTAGTGAGACTTTCTTAAACTTGTTTAAACTTTTAGGAACTTGAGTAGGCCTTTCCAGTTCTCAAGTCTGACCTGTCATTGTGCACGTCTTTAAGTGAATTTAGTTGTCTTCAACCCATATTCTTACCTCATGAAAATTTGTATTCCTGCAATATCCACAGCCTTTTGAGTGTGAGAATATCACATTTCCACTCTTCTATATCAAGAAATATATGTTACTTACAGCTTAGCTCTTAATTTTATGACTGTTTTGGATACTTCTACTAACTTCCCACTAAGGGAATAGCTTCTCAATATCTAATCGTTTGATTCTTGTTGCAACTTTAAGCACCTCTGATTTTAGATAACACCGCGAATGTTCAAGCTCAACCCAAAGTTATGCAATGTGCCTTCATAATTTAATCCTTTAAATCCTAGTTTAGTTCTGGTGAATCTGCATTCCAAGATTAAAATATTCCTCCTGAGATGCCAAAAAGCTTTTATATGGGCCGATAGGTTGACATTAACTTATTGGCAAGGCTTGAGGATTGGTTGACCAGCAAGTGTAATTATTTAATTTGTAGTAATTTACATTAATTTATGAATAACTGTTAATGAATGAATAAGTTCATTAAAAATCAGGTTTAAAGTAATTTGCAAAAGAAGTAAATGGCATGTGAGAAAAAATGTTTTCACTTAGTGAGTACTTAGGATTTGAACTGCACTGCCTGAAGGTGTGGTGGAGGCAGGTTGAAGGCACTTAAGAGGGCCTTCAGTGTTTCTATTCAAATAATTGATATGCAGGGTCATAGGGAAAAAAGGCAGGAGAATGTCTCACAGTTCATTTGGAGAGCTGGTGCGACACAGTTGGCCAAATTGTCTCCTTCTGCCCATTAAGAATTCTTTGATTCCATTGTATCTAAGCTCCAATACAAAGTTAGATGGGATTGTAAGCTGCGAGGAAGATGCAAAGAGACTGCAAAGGGATAAAGTCAGGTTTAATGAGTGAGCAAGATCATAACTGAGTATTGTGTGGGGATTGTGTTTTATGAGATAATTAGAAAACCAGATTATTTTAAACTAGAGATTCAAAAATGTTTAGAGACACTTCAATTTTGGCGTTTACAAATTGCATTTAACATGAAGATAATCTAAGCAATTGGGTTAGCAAATGGTATGTTGGTCTTTATTACAAAGGGTTAGATTATTCAGGCAAATGAGTCTTGTACTGGGCCTTGTTGTGTCATAGTCATTCAGCACGGAATCAGACCCATTGGTCCAACTCATCCATGCTGACCAATTTACCCAAACTAAACTAGCCCCACTTGCCTGTATTTGACCCATATCCCTCTTAACCTTCCCAATTCGTGCACCTGTCCAAATCTCTTTTAAATGTTGTTACTCTACCTGCATCTTCCACTTCCTGCGGCAGTTTACTCCACATACGAACCACTGTCTGTGTGAAAAAGTTGCCTCTCAGGTCCCTTTTAAATCCTCCTCCTCTCACCTTAAAAATATGCTCCCTAGTTTTGAACTCCCTCACCCTAGGAAAAAAACCTTTGCTAGTCACCTTGTCTATGCCCATCGTGATTTTATAAACTTCTATAAGGTCACCCCTAACCTCTACGTTCCAGTAAAAAATGCCCTAACCTATTCAGTCTCTCCTTTATAACTCAAATCCTCCAGACCCAACATCATCCTGGTAAATATTTTCTGCACCCTCTCCAATTTAATAATATCCTTCTTATAGCAGGGTGACCAGAGTCACAGTACACACTGCACACAGTACTCCAAAGTCGCCTCACCAACATCCTGAACAACCTCCACATGACGTCTCTATACTCAGTGGTCTGAGCAAGGAAAGCAAGCATGCGAAATGCCTTCTTAACCACCTTGTCTACCTGTGATGCAACTCAAAGAATTATCTACCTGAACCCCTAGGTTTCTGTTCAACACTACTACCCAGGACCCTACCATTAACTGTATAAGTCCTGCCGTTCTTTGTTTTACCAAAATGCAAAATCTTGTATTTATCCAAATTAAACTCCACCTGCCACTCCTCAGCCCTTTGGCGCAATGGATCAAGATCGCTTTGTAATCTTAGAAAACCTTCTTCACTGTTGACTATCCCATCCAATTTTGGTGTCATCTGCAAACTTACTAACTATGCCTCATAAATTCTCATCCCACATCATTTATACAAATGACAAACAGTAAACCCAGCACTGAGCCCTGCGAAACACCACTAGTCACAGGCCTCCAGTCCAAAAAAAAGCCCTCCTCCACCACCCTCTCTCTCCTAATATCAAGCAAATTTTGTATCCAGTTGACAAGCTCTCCTTGAATCCCAAGTGTTCCAACTTTACTAATCAGTCTACTCTGCGGAACCTTGTTAAAGTCCACATAGACAACATCCACTGCACTGTTGTCATCAATCTTTTTGGTTACGCCCACAAAAACCTTAATCAAGTTTTGTGAGACACAATTTCCCAAGCACAAAGCTATGCTGACTATCCCTAGTCAGTCCTTGCCTCTCCTGATCTCTCAGGATCCCCTCCAACATTTACCTACGACTGATGTCAGACTCACAGGTCGATAGTTCCCAGGCTTCTCATGTTTGTTGTCAATCACACAGCTCAAGGAGTTCTATAGATCCAGCCCCTTGGTGCAACATGAATGAAAGGTCTCAGGTAATGACTGCTCCCCTTGGGCCTTGCCAGCTGCTGCTCCAAGCTTTAATGCATCCCTTAGCACGTAGCTCTGGTCTTTGGAATGAGCCAAATTGCAACATTCAGCTGAGGACAAGTTTTTTGAATTGGAAGACCAACGCGTTTCAGGCAGACTAAAGAGCTTCTTTCACCAAGTCAGTGATCCTCTAAGCACTGTTGATGTTCGCCTGTGTACATTGCTGATAACAGTCTGTAGAGCACTGGGTCTTTCATTGTGGAGCTGGTTAGGATGAACCTCAAAAAAGCAGCCAAATCTCTATCCGATCACACCTTGTACTGTGTACAGTTCTGATCATACCTAAGGAAGAACATACTTGCCTGAGAGTGAGTACACTGAAGTTTCTTACATGAGGGAATTGTTCTAAGGAGAAATTAAGTGATTAGACCTCTATGTCCTAATGTTTAGAAGGGTGAGAGTTATATAAATGTAACACAAAAGGGACTTGATGGTGTATATGCTGGGAGGATAGTTCCCTTCATGAGGTGGCCAGAACCAGGATTGATAGTCTCAGAGTAAGGAATTAGCCATTTAGGACTGAGATTAAGAAGAAATTATCCACTCATGGCATTATTATTCTTTTTAACTCTCTACTGCAGATGCTCAATCACTGAGGTATTCCAGACAGATTGATCCATTTTTTTGGTATTCTGGGACTTGGATGGATGGTGCTGGAAGGTGGAGCAGAGGTAGATCAGCCATGATCTTACTGAAGCTGGCACAGAGACCCAGCGGCCTACTGCTATTTATATTTCATAAGTTCCTCAAACCAAAAACAATCCTTTACTGACAATGCCTGTGTCTCTGTCCTTGACTCGCTCCTTGGGCTGAGTGGGAAATGTAAAGCCTTGCAGATTACTTGACTTTTGTGATCTTGGGGATACCTAGTTACTGTAAGCCATTGGATAAACCATTCCTTTGAGTAAATGCTACCCATGATAATGATGAGTTAAAAAGCAACTTCAATAAAATTCATTAAAATGATTTTCTGAAGAAGGGTCCTGACTCAAAACGTCAGCTTTCCTGCTCCTCTGATGCTGCCTGGCCTGCTGTGTTCCTCCAGCTTCGGCAGTTCTTACTATCTCTCAATAAAATTCATTATTCTTTTACAAAAATGTAGCTAGTCTGATACACAACCCATCACAAAATCTCCCCATCTAATTAACTAGAGTAATTTTTGTAGTCCTTGTTCCTATGATATTAGCCATTGTCATATCTTGGTTACCCATCTAGACAAATCTTTTTGGATACATTTTTTCCATTGTGAACTTTGACTTGGTGTACAAGAGAAATTTGATTGTTCGCGTATCGTTTGAAATACGATTCATGAATTGATCATGGCTTTATGTTCCCTTGCAGTCATCTCGCAGCTCACAGACAGCGGCAGCTACTGCTACTGCAGCACAAGCAGCATCTCGCATTAAAAAATTTGCGATTTACAGGTGGAATCCAGATAAGCCTGGTGACAAGCCTCGAATGCAAACCTATGAGATTGATCTAAATGCGTAAGTGCTCCAAGGGGAAATGCTACAGGGTATGCATTTGATTGCACTGGACAGACTGTTACTGATTTAAATTTTACTACAGTATGCCCTTTTTATTATGGTACTATTTTGGATAGAGGGATTTTGATTGTTTTCGAGGAGAGTTAAAATGGTGAAGTGCAGTGATGAAATTGGAAAAGACCTGCTGACCTGCCAAGCCCACACCTCAGTAGTCCATATGCACACTCTCCCAAGTGTAGTCAAACTTGGGAGTGAGATGAATGACCAGAGCGAAAACTACTGAGAAATCTCCAAACACTCTGGCTCCCCCTGTGCCATTGCCAACACTTCAAGAAATGGGTCTAACATTACAGTCTGTGTTCATTTCCTGATTATTTGTATTCTGGAAACTTTTCCCCTCTTCCAGCAACAAAGGAGTAGCTGTCTTCCTTATAGTCCTTCTGTTTTACTTCTGTATTCACCTAAAAGTCTCATTACAGCAAAGATTGAACAGACGTTTTCTGGAAATGTGTTCAACGTGTGAAACCTTCTCAGTTCTACACCTGTCTATCTCTGGCCTTTGTACATCTTCTACTTACTTCACCAAACAACTGTTGAGTGTGTTTCTGGCCTTTTACGATGTAAACTTTCAAATTTCACTCCTACAACATTGTTGACAATCCAACTCTTGCTCCTTAATTAAGATGGACTTATAACTTGGCTCTTTGAAGAATTGATCAGAATCCTAATATCTTCTTTGATTCAGACTTTGCTTTAGTCTGTTTAAGCTCCTGTCAAATGCTTTGGGACTTTTAACTACACTAAAGATAATATACAAATACAATTTGTGTTTGAGAGAATTGAAACTGATATTTCAAACTATTGTGACACTACATGTGTAGATGTGGTCCGATGGTACTAGACGCTCTTATCAAGATCAAGAATGAAGTGGACTCCACACTGACATTCCGAAGATCTTGCAGGGAAGGTGAGTGGTATTGTATATAGGTGATATGGTGACGGTGACAGATCAATGTCTGCATTTCCGATGAATCATTACAGTCTCACATCTGTGAACATTAGTCAGGCCTTAGGTGAGGTAAGAGTGTATATATCTAGATGTTTGTTGATCCCATTTTTAAAATAGCCATCACTATAATTGTGTGCCTAGGTGTGGAGAGTGACAAAAGGTTTTCTATTACTGACTAGTAAATCTCAGACATTTGCAATGCCACTGCGGTGTCACCAGCTGTTTCAATGTTCCTTTGAAGGTTGTGGTTTCTTCTTGAAAGTATCCAAGCATGAATTGGTATTTATGACTAGTTTTTACTGTCACTGCCAATGCCTTAGGACATGCCTGCATCTACAAGGCCCAAATGTCCAACGAGTCTGCAACCAAGAATTTATTTTGTAGTTTCTTCATTGTTAGCCACTGCTGTGGGATCACAACCGCTGGCTCCGTGACAGACAGACATGACCATGTGTGGAGTTTGTATGTCGCTGAGAATCTATGGCAATCATTTTATAAAGCAAAATTTTGAAAAATTGTAATCTATTATGTGAAAGGATTATGACACAGTCAAAATCAGACCTAGCTTATTGTCAAGTGAATTTAATGATGTCCATGTAGTAAAAAATAATGAAGGGTCACAGATCAGAGAAACTAAGGCAGCAACATTTTCGGAAAGGATGGTAATATCTGTCAAATGCTTGGATTGAGGAGGATCTTCTAAATTTAACGAAAGCAGTAAATTCACCAGAATTTTTTTTTTTGCTTTGACTCTCATCCAGCAGCTGGACATATTGAATGCTGGATGATGTGTCTGTGAAAGGCAACATTTTAAGATAACAGTCATGGACTACTTAGATCAGTTCTAAATCTGTAGGACATGTTTAGGAGGTGAGATGTAGATAGATTCAGGACTCCAAGAAATAGAGATTGTCTCACAAGAAAATGGGCAAGTGATTTGCACCAGGTTTGCTTGGGCTGGACGAGCACTTGCCTGCCGGATTGGCAATTCTTGCCTCTCTTAAACTGGCTCATGGAAACCTGTGTTGGAGACATTAAATCTAAATCACTGACAAATATGACTCAATAATAAAGTGAGGCTGTGAGGTTCAGATTTTCAGTGTACCTCTTGGTGTGGAATACTCATTCAATCCCAAAAATGTGTGATTAAACCAAAGTAGGCAGATGGCTGTTTGGTTTCCTCATTTGAACCTGCTGTTTGTCTTGTCTGGGGCAGAGTGTTGAAATTCCTTCCATTAGTCGCTGCTGTAGTGGTCATGCTAATACTTGTGTTTCTGGGGTGAATTTAATGTCATCCAGCATTAGTGTAATCTACTCTGTCCTTTTCCATTTCATAGTTTGATTTTCTTTAATGCAAATGCTGATAAACTTGCCAGTCACTTCTTGTGGTTAATTAGAGTGACTGCTTGTACATTTAGTTTAAACTAAACAATACTGTGCAGATTAGGAGTTTCTGTGAAAATAATCAAAAAACATGATCAACTCTACATAGATTTTCTATTCTCAGGAATATGTGGTTCCTGTGCCATGAACATCAATGGCAGCAATACATTGGCTTGCACCTGCAAAATCGACAGCAATCTTGGCAAAGTGACAAAGATTTACCCGCTACCTCATATGTACGTGGTGAAGGATCTTGTTCCAGTGAGTTCCCACTTTTCCCCTTTTTGTTTATTGTCTCTGTATCCATGCAGGCTGCATTCTGTACTTTTTGTAACCTGCATTATTACTATCAGGAGCCCACTTTTTAAAAGGCTTATAAACTTTCTATTTATCATCTGTATGTTTAGAATGTTCAACTTGAGTCTCTAGTAGATTCTGAATATTTCAGGATATTTATGCAATTCTGTCCATCGTTCACAATCTCAATTGGTTCATCTGCTCCAGTGCTTCTGTTTTGTTCCCCACAATGACATAGATAAAGTTACAGGCACACTGCAGGGTGAATTACAGCAATAAATATATTTTCTGATGTTGATTTAAGATCATTTGTTTTGTTCTGTCACTGAAATTAACTTGCTGTTAACTTGTTGTGTATCTGTTTTAAACCTGTCCACTGAAATAATTTCCATTTTGGTGTTATTTGAATGTCTTGCTGATACAGGAGCAGGCGTAAGCCATTTGGCTATGTGAGTCAGCTCCATCATGCAATATGATCATAGCTGATGATCCAACTCAGTACCCTGTTCCTGCTTTCTCCCCCTACTCTCTTACCCTTTTTACTCCTGAAAAAAAATGTCTCCTGCTTGGGATAGAGAGATAGTAGGAACTGCAGATGCTGGAGAATCTGAGATAACAAGGTGTAGAGCTGGACGAACACAGCAGGCCAAGCAGCATCAGAGGAGCAGGAAAGCTGACGTCTTGGGTTTGGACCCTTCATTTCTGAAGAAGGGTCCAGACCCAAAACATCAGCTTTCCTGCTCCTCTGATGCTGCTTGGCCTGCTGTGTTCGTCCAGCTCTACACCTTGTTATCTCTGTCTCTTTCTTGGACACATTCAGTTGCCTCAACTGGTTTCTGTGGCAGAGAATTCTACATGCTCACTGCTGTCTGGGTGAAGAAATTTCTCCTCATTTCTGTCCTAAAAGGCCTACCCTATATACTTTAACTGAGCCCTCACTCTGGATTCCTCTGTCATAGAATACATCCTTCCAGCATCTACCCTGTCTAATTTTGTTAGAATTTTATAGGTTTCTGAGATTTCCCCCCTCATTCTTCAAAAGTCCAATGTATATAATCCTAACTGATCCAGTCTCTCCCTGTACGTCAATTCTGCCATCCCAGGAATCCGTCTAGTAAGCTTTCTTTGCACTGCCTCAATAGTCAGAACATCCTTCGTCACATAAGATAACCAAAACTCTTCAATACTCCAGGTGTAATCTTATGGGTACCCTGTACAGTTGAAGCAAGTCATCCCTGCTTCTGTGCTCGAATCCTCTTGCTATGAAGGCCGACATATTATTTGCCTTCTACACCACCTGCTGCATCTGCATGCTTACTTTCAGCAACAGGTGTATGAGGACACCCAAGTATCATTGTGCCTTGCCTTTTCCCAATCTATTGCCATTCAGATCATTTACCAGCCTGTTTTTGCTCCCAAAGTGGATAATCTCACTTTATCCACATTATACTACATCTGTGTATTTACCCACTTGCTCAACTTATCAAATGACACTGAAGCTTCTCTGCATCCTCCTCACTGCGTACCTACCCATTCAGATTCGTGTCACTTGCAGACTTGGAGATTATGACCTGTTACCTCTTCTAAATTATTAAAATATATTGCGACTATCTGGGATCCTAGCACTGTTTGCTGTGGAACCCCACCAGTCACTGCCTGCCAACTGGAAAAATACTTGTTTATTCCAACTCTGTTTCCTGTCAGCCAATGAATTCTCAATCCATGTCAGTACACTACCTCGAAAATGTGCACTTTAATTTTACATCCTAATATCTCATGTGGGACCTTATCAAAAGCCTTCTGAAAGCCCAAGTATACCACATCCACTGGATCCCTCTTATTCACTCGATTAGTTACAATCTCAAATTCCAGCAGATTTATCAAGCACAACTTCCCCTTCATAAAATCATGCTGACTGTCTTATATTGTCACTATACTTCCAAGTATTCTGCTATTGCATTTTTATAATAGACTCTATCATTTTTCCCATTCCAGTGTCAAATTAACTGGTCTATACTTCTTCGTTTTCTCTCTGACTCTGTTCTTAAATAGTGAGGTTACATTAACTATCCTCCAATCCGTAGGAACTGTTAGTGTCTATAGAATTTTGGAAGAGAACCACTTCCTAAATACTCTGGGATGAAGATTATCAGGCCCTGGGAATTTATAAGCCTTTAGTTCGGATAGTTTCCTCTGCCATTGCCCTGCTAATTTTAACTTCTTCAGTTCCTCTTTCCTATTAGGCCTTGTGCTCTCCCAAATTCTTGGGATGTTACTTTCATCTTTCTTTGTGAAGACAGCACTAAAGTATGCCATCTTTGTTCCCCAGTTTATACAAGAACAGCAGAAGGCCATTCAGCCCTCAATCCTGTTTCACCATTCAGTGAGATCATGGCTGATCTATGGCCTAACTCCATATATCTGCCTTTGGCCCATCTCCCTGAATACCTTTGCTAACATTAAAAAGAATCGCTCAGATTTAAAATGATGATAAATTATATAAATTTCCCTGTTTCTGACTGTGGGAGACCGATCTTTGTCTTTACTAACCTTTTTCTCTTCACATACCTATAGAAGCTTTTACTATTGGTTTGTATGGTCCCTGCAAGCTGGCTCCCCAGTCTATTTTCCCCTCTTAATCAGTCTCTTTGTCTCCCATTGCTGGAATCAAAACTGTTCCCACTTCTCAGGTCTGTTGCTTGTATGCTTTCTCTTGGCCAATTTGTATGCCTCTTCCTTGGATTTCATACTATCCCTAATTTCCCTTGTTAGCCATAGTTTGACCACACTTCCTGTTTATTTTTATGCTAGTCAGGGATGAATAACTATTTGCAATTCGTCTGTGCGGTCTTTAAATGTTTGATTGTCTTGCTTTTTGCTGCAGGACCTGAGTAACTTCTATGCTCAGTATAAGTTAATTGAACCATACCTGAAGAGAAAGGATGAATCTCAAGAGGGCAAGGAGCAGTACCTGCAATCAATTGAGGACAGACAGAAACTGGTAAGGCTTGGGATGACCTATATAAAGCAATCTAGAACTCTTCCAGAAACTCATAAGCTTAAACTGAGAACAGGGAATTTACCCATCCTAATAGTGGCTAATAAAATTGACATTTAAAACGAAGATGAGATTGTGGAATGTTTTCACTCTACATTTGGTTTTTTTTAAGCATATGCATGAACACATTGATTCTAACCTTCAAAGAACATACTGGTGAAACTCACCATATTAATCTAACAGCATTAAATTTAATTAAATGGTCTCCAGTTTAACTGGAGATAGTTTTTGACCTGTAATTGTGAACACATTTGTATGTTGCAACTCCGATACATTGGCCTCGTTTGAAGATGGCAATCTCCAATGTATTAAGTCCTTTTTAATATTCTGTAGAGCATTTAGCTGGTATTTTATGAATGACTTCATCCATGCTCCAATAAAAACTGCATTGCATTAAAATCTATCACATTTCTGACTGTATCTTCACCTGTTTTTTGCATTTTGATACACAATGATATTTATGTTAGGAATCTGTGCAGAAGGGTTTTGTTTGCTGGAATTGAATGAAATCTGTTTGTTTTTGTCAGGATGGTCTTTATGAGTGCATTCTCTGTGCCTGTTGCAGTACCAGCTGTCCCAGTTACTGGTGGAATGGAGATAAATACCTGGGGCCTGCTGTCCTGATGCAGGTAAATGCATTTCCTCTGAATAGAATCTGTACACACTTCAGAGGGTGTTCCAACTGCTGGAAATTGGATGTGTCTTGACTCACAGCAAGTCCCATGCCACCAGCAATCCTATTAACATTGACTGGAAGCCAATTTTAAAACTCTCATTCCTGTTTTGATCATTTTCTCTCTGTGGCCTTGCCCCTCCCTGTCTCTGTAATCTTTTCCAGCCTGTTGGTTCTCATACCTGTGCGTCTCAAATTCTGGCCTCTTGTTGCTGATGGTAGGTCTTCAGTTGCCTAGGGTCTAAGCTCTGTAATATTCCTTCTCCACATGTTTATTCCTTTAAGGCACTCTTCAAAATCTCTCTTCAACCAAGCAGTTGGTCATCTGACTGTGTGTGACTTAATGTCATTTTGTTTAATATTGATCTCGTGAAGAGCCTTGTAACATTCTACTAATATCCTTTTGCTGTGCAGACCTCAGGCGTGGAAGTTTAATAAAAGCCTTTTAAAATTGATACTACAGAGGTGTAGCATTTGAGGCCATTATGTCTGCCAGGTTAATCCCACTGGCTGAAAGCCTTGTTTCAAATAGTTTTCTTGATTTCTCTTAACGTGAAATGTGCCTATTTCAAGCACACTAATCATAGCACCTGTACACCAGGTGCTGGAGTAGAACTCGGTCGTAAAATATTCAAAGGCTTTAAATCCAGCATGTTGTAAGAAGACATAAAACTAGAGGGAAGTGGCTACTAATTTTTTTTTTACAAGTTGGTGGGTGAGAGAACAGCTGAACATGGATGAATTCAGGAATGAGTATTATTCTGGCAAAAGAGGTTTATTGAGCCGTTAGGAAAATAAATTTATATACCACATACTGATTTTTTTTTTTTTTTTTTGCAGTTTAAAATATTCAGAAATATAAATGTTAGTTGAAAAAGTGTTGTAGTAATTTGGTTCTCTTAAAATGTTTAACATAGCCCTGGGACAACTCGGAGTGCTTAGCAGCAAGCCAGTTTAGAGTTTGCAAGTGCTGTCTATAACATATGGCAGATCTGATTGGTGCAACTCACAAATAACAGGAGTCAAGTTGTTGATTGAAAGAAGGATATGCTTTCATATAATTATGTCTGTCATCCCAAAAAACATCAGAATAGGCAGACAAGGCTTCAGTTATATGATGATGCCTGGCAATCCAGCACACCCTTAATTACAAATGTACACCTGTTGTTTAAGGGAATTAAGTTCTGGAATGTCTTTCTTAACCCATAACCTTCTGAACTGGAAAAAAAATACTTTAACAGGAAGTCATCGACTGAAATGAATTATGGGACTGGTAAACTTTGGATCTAAATAGCCCTCTTAAATGTAGTAATGAGCTTAGGTGTACATCTGTTTGTAGTGTTCACTGGACACTTGCCAGGCTTAGTGTTAGGCAGACTCCATCTTTGAGATTCATGAATACTTCTGCATGGTTTAGGTACTGTTTGCCTGATGAATTTTTAAAATACTAGTGGAGATTATTTTACTTCTAGTTGAAGATGCTTGTAGTTTAAGATGCTTCAGACTGTCATAATGTTTGAACCAAATTTACTTTGATTGGCTTCATCATCTTGCTCACATTTACAGGCCTATCGCTGGATGATTGACTCCAGGGATGAGTTCACAGAGGAGCGGTTAGCTCAACTCCAGGATCCTTTCTCCCTCTATCGCTGCCATACCATTATGAATTGCACAAGAACCTGTCCAAAAGTAAGTGTTTTTACAGTTAGAAGAAGTCTGTTACTTTGTAATGCCAAATCTCATTGCAGTGAGAGAACTTGCAGGAAGGAACAATTACTCATTATTCCCTTTTAGAATTAACTCCCTGGAATATTTGCTGAACTGTAAAATAACTATTTGCATTTACAAGGTACTTCACAATGTTATCAAAATGACAGCTAACACAAGTTTTATGCAGTAAATTAGATATGTTTTAAAACATGGACAGATAAAGGTGGGGTTGCCAGTAGTAGAGAAAAAATTGGGAAGAGGCTAAAACTTGAGTGCTTTTATCTTAGGGTTCGGGGTTACTGGAATGAAGAAAAATGGTTCAAGGAAGAATTTGAAAATGTGTTTTTTTTTTTAAAAGAGGTGGCAATTCCAGGCTTGAAATCCAGTAGGAATAGGTGATCTCAGATTGTGTAGGTTACAGGACAGCAAAGATTTGGATAAACTCAACATAAGAGTGTTAGGCTTTCCAAAAGATCACTGGTTACCTTTAAACACAACTCATCCAATGCACGGATGAACTTTTAACTCTTCAGTCAGCAATCAGTTGCTAACAAGTATGATTGTCTACTGAGGAAATTTCGTGTTACTGGGTTCTATGGGTCCTTGAGTGGCTGACCCTGAGCCTGATCCTAGAGACACATCTGCAACTGAATGTCTGGCACGTGTTTCCAGGAGTGAAAGCAGTCCCTGACTTTGACTGTTGGCATTCATTTTGGATTCCTTTTCTGTACTTTCTCTTGCCAACTGACAGGCATTCTCAATTTGTTCCTTCTGAACAAAGATCTCCCATCAACATGTTTCATTTCTTGAGGGAACCCTTTATAGAGTCAGAGTCAAACAGCACAGAAGCAGACCCTTTGGTCCAACCAGTCCATGCCAACATGTTCCCAAGCTAAACTAAATCCCACTAGCCTGTCTGGCTCATATTCACATGTCTTTTAAATGTTGTTCTTCTCTTGTTCAAATCTTTCCTGAAGTTGGACGAAGAAGCCGCTTTAGCAGTCCGACCTCAGGCCATCCTAATCATGTAGCTGGCCCAGCAGAGTTGATTTTGGATGATCATGACCTCCAATGCTGGAGATATTAGCCACTTCAGGTTACTGATGATAGTATGCCTGTCCTCCCACATGATGCAGAGAATCAGTCATAAACAGCATTACTGGTATTACAAAAGGTCTTGAGGTGGCATCTATACATAGTCTTAAGTTTTGGAGCCATTTAAGAATCAGAAGGATGACTGCTTTAGGCATCAAAGTGGTGCTTGCAGATTGGATGCAATGTTGAATCTCTGCATCGGTCAGCCTTAGATGAGAAGTGGCTTCCCAGGTAAAGGAAATGTTCCGTGTTTGGGAGGATTTCTGTTGATCTTCATGGAGGGATGGACCAGAACTTGACCTGGAACAGTTTGGTAAAGGAATTGGGTCATCTTAAAGTTGAGACTGAAGCTAATTCTTTAGTATGCTTTTGCGAAGGCATCAAGTGAGGCTTTAAGATTTTTGTCATCCGCATACTGGAGTTCTACAAGCAAGGCAGGCTCGTGTAGTTTTCTTAGATTTCACAACTGGCTGAGGTTGAAATGTTTTCTGTACGTCCTGTAGACAATGTCCACACTGCGTGGAAGCTCATTCTTGACAAAGAATGGTGGATGGAGAAAAGGGGGAGGGTGATGACACAGCACTGCTTGACCTCAAAGGATTGTCATTTACCAGCAAAAACCATCATGAGATATTGTCATGACATCTTATCATTGGAAGTAACCAATGCATGGATGAGCTTTTTACTAGATAAACTGAGGCAAGGGTGAAAGACAAGTGCCAATACAGAGATACATAGGTAGTTTTGAAGATGGAGAAATTGAGACAATCTCCGGCTAAACAGAATGTCTATTCAGCCTTGACCATCGTCCGAAATAGTGTTTGTGGTGATAATCAAGGATACGTTGACTACTATCCTGAAGGAGACAGCAAGCCCGCAGAAAAAAAGTTTTTTGATTGGAAATTGCTGTAATTAATCTGACAACAGGGGCAGGAGATGAAGACAAGATTTGAAAATTAAGTTTGAGAAGGTTCTCTTTATTGTTTTTCTGCCCTCAACTCTGAGGTCTCCAAATGTGCAAACCTTTAATTCCAATTTAATGTGGTTGCCAATGCAAAACTACCCATGAAGCAACTTATCTGTTGATACTAAATGTTCACTAAATCAACTGAATGGTTTGCCTGCCTTACAGGGTCTAAATCCAGGTCTGGCAATTGCTGAGATTAAGAAGATGATGGCAACATATCAAGCCAAGGCTGCAACTGCATAGTCATGGGTATCTGAATTTATCTATTGTAAAACCTTGTGGTTTGTTTCAGCTATGGAAGACAATAAATTTATTTTGCTGTGTAATTTAGATTGTTATTTTAAAAAATGGAAATAAATTGCATTCAATGCTATTTGAGTGAAATAGCATTGAATTTAATCAAGGAAAATATCCTACTATGCTTAAATGGGGTAAAGAGAAAATAGATGTGCGAAAAATTGATCATCTATCCTAATCACAAGGTTTGATGTAAAGGAGGGAACAGTGAAGGCTAGATTGCTAGTTGAGATTAAAAGGCTGAAACCACAAATTTGCATATTGAGAATTTTAAATGGTCACATTAACAAGGTGGTGATAGCCCCAGAAGTCTAAAGTACGCATGGGAATGGCCAGATACAAAGATTCTCAATGACATAGGTGAAGCACAGAAATAAAATCTTTATACATAATATAATGTACAGTTTGACAACGCATTTACATGGCAGGCATGCTCTGTGTAAAAGTGGCACAAAATATAACAGCACTTATAAAAAAATCCTGTAAACTGTACAAAATCTCCACCTTGTTATAAAAAAACATTCTACATGTATTCACTGGTCAAATGCAGCAAAGAGTATGGATCAGAGTTGTTCCCAAAGTGAAATACAAAACCTGAAAGTGGGATGCCATTTACCTGTTGCAAAACCAGCCTCAAAGTAACAGCTACATGGCATATTGACACTGTTACTCTCCACTGCACCTTCCCCTGCAACCGCTAAAAGTTGTAACACATGCCCATTTACCTTCCCCCCTCCCCAGTATCCAGGGCCCATTACAGGTGAAGCTGCACTTAACCTACACTTTCCACAGTCTCGTCTACTGCATTTGCTGCTCACAATGGGGTGCACTCTACATTGGGGAAATGAAGCGTAGACTGGGTGACTGCCTGCAAAAAACGACAGAGTTTCCAGCTGCCTGCCACTTTAACACACCACCCTGTTCCCTGGCCAGCATCTATCTCCAGATTGCTGCACTGTTCTAGTGAAGCTCAGCACAAGTTAGAACACCTCATTTTCTGCTTTTAGGGCCTGAACTCTTACCCCATCCACCAGGCCTTGTAATCACACAGCCTGCCATTACACACTACCTATTGTTAGTCACTAACAATCCCATTAAGTTATTCACCCTTCTAGCCAGATTATCATCAACTGCTTTGTCCAACTGTTGTTCTCTCTCTTTGGGGTCAATCCTCACCTATCATTTACTCCTTACCCCTTTTCCCCCAACCTATCTTCTGCAGTATAAACCAACACTTTCCTAGCCACCATCATTTGAGGAAGGGTCACTGGACCCGAAATGTTAGCTCGGATTTTTTCTTCACAGATGGTTCCTGACCAGCATCCACAGTTCTTTCAGTTTTTGTTAACCTTTGACAGGTAAAATATTCCAGCACAAAGCTACATTCAATATCAGTGGAGTATCATTCACTTTTGAAGTACAAGATTGTTTTTGGAGATCATTAGTTTTCAGGTTTTTCTTTTCTCTTTTGCACCACTTAGTGCTGCCAATGATGATGATCACTTTCCTATTGTGAACATTAGAGACGAGTGTAGAAAATGAAGCCAGTGAAGCTGCTCATTGCCAACTGAACCTCATCTAATCCATGTCCTTGAACAAGTCGTTTTCTTAACGAATGATACATTTTTGTTGGTTTTGTTTGCTACACTGACATTTACAAAAAGGAGCATTTTAAATCCAGAATTAGAGATCTATTTTTTTAAAAAATTGGATATTACTGCTTAAAGCTAATTGAACTTGATGAAAATTAATTTGTTCCCATCTAAATCACAATGCAGTAATCTCCGGTTATAAACATAATTTGAGTTGGTATTTATCATCTATTTTACAGTTTAAATCCTTCTCTAATAAGAATCTAGATGTCTCTGTACAGTCGGCATACATTTACCCAAAAGCTCAAGAAATAAATACAATTACTTGACCCAGGTTTAACCTTTGGTCTGATGTTAGGAAACTAATTAGCCCCAAAATCCTGGGCTACAGGAAGAAGGGAGCAAAATTAAGCACTCCAACTGCTTTGAGAATTCTTAGGTGATAGGAGGATCAAGTGAAGAAGCACATTCATCCCCTTCCCCAACCCAGGACACAAAAGAAAAAATGTGAAATGGCTACTAATAAAGTGTGTGAAGGCTACAAGCACCTATGGAACTATACCTCTGCTGAGCATTTACTTGCATAACGAGAGAAGAGGAAATATAAAGTGGAGAAATTTTACAAACTTGGAAAACACTCCACGATTAACTTCCATCATTCATCCATGAGTTTATGAATCAATACCCAGATGGATGGGGTTAACCCATCTGGAATTACAACCTTCCATCCAGGCCTTCAAACAACAAGTACCTACCTATCCATACACACTGTTAGACCCCAAGCTGTATTTTCCCTACCACTTTTTGGTTAAAAATCTTTGCAAAGCATAATGTATAAATAAATAGTGCAATAATTTACTACAGGCAATTTTAAGAATTCAGTTTCCCACAATATGGGGAAATTAGAAGCTAAAAAAAGTCTTTGAATGCCAAAAAACAGCTGATTTAGCCTAGAGTTGGCAGAATGCCCTGTATCTTTCATACTGGAGATGGTATTCAAAGGGGAAATTCCAGCTTGGTCCATTCAAAACCCACCATACATTTTCCTCCCAGGGAATATGGGGAAGGGCTACATGTTTCAGATTTTGTTTCCAGATGCATAAATTCGTAGCTGTAGCAAATTTTGTTGTTATAAACTGGCCCTACTCCTTTTGCTTGCTTCTGTGGAATGTGTTATTCAAAGTGGACAACCCTTCCTGATTCAGCATATATAACTTCATCGAGAGGAGGCCATGCAGAATTTTGGCAGAGTTCTTTCTCAAGTCTCTTGTATAGTTTTCTGGAGTATTTTTTCTTGCACAAGGGCCGTAAGCACTGGTTTAGTAATCCGCTGTCTATAAATCTCTGAAACAAGAGGATTATTGTTAAATGCTGTTAATCGTTAACTTCCCAAACAATCCATAGTCAAGATTTTTATTTAGCTTTGGTTTCTGATCTGCATTAATCCACTAAATAAATCCAAAGGGCATTCTGTAGAATGTGTGGTAGCTGAACAAGTAAATGCTGTGCCATAATACCAACAGGTACAGTTAACTTCACTCCCTAATCCTTTTCATTATTGCCCATCGTAAGCATCCTGGAGGAAGTGGTGGTGAACTACCGCAGTCATTGGAGTGTAGGGACATCAATAATTATTGGGAAGGGAGTTCCAGGATTTTGACACAGTGACAATGAATGAAAAGCGATTCAGTTTGACGTCAGAATGGTGAGAGACTGGAGGGTAATTTGCAGGTGGTAATATTCCTATGTATCTGCTGCCCCTGTCCTTCTAGGTAGCAGAGATCATGTGTGTAATGTGCTGTATAAGGAGCCTTGGCATGTTGTAGTACATCTTGTGGATGGTACACACTGCTACCACTGCATTGCAGTGGTAAAAGGAATTAACGTTGAAAGACAAGACTCTTGGTTTTTTATTAAAATTATTCACAATCATTTAAAAGTGGATGTGGCAAGATTGCAGAGCTTACATCCAATCCACTGTTTGTGGGATCACTTAGTTTTGTCTTTCACTTGCTGCTTCCACTGTTTGCATATAAATAGTCCTGTGCTGTAGCCTCATCTACTTGACACTCATTTTTATGAATGCCTGTGTTGCCCCTTGCATGCCCTACTACACTCTTCATTGAACCAGAGTTGATCTCCCAGCTTTACACTAACGTTAGAGTCAGGGATATGCTGGGCAGTTAGGTTACAAATTGTCAAATATAACTCTGTGGGTGGTCTACAGCGCTTGTGGATGCCCAGTTTTGAGTTGCTAGGTCTGTTACATTTAGCATGGTAATAGTATCTTCTGGTTGTGTGGCACTAAGTTAGGGAGAATAGTGAATTGTTAGAATGATGCCTGGCAACTTCAAAGGGACATTGATAAGTTAGCCAAATGGCTGAACACCTGGCAAATGAGTTTCAATGCAGAGAAATGACAGATATTGCATTTTGGTGGAAGAAACCTGGACAGACAATACAAACTGAATGGTATAACTTTGAGGGGAGTATAGGCGCAGGGGTGTTTTGGGGTTCAAGTGCATAATTCTCTGAAGATAGGCAAGTTGAAACAGTTAAAGGAGGCTTATAGGATCCTTGTGTTTCTAAATAGGAGGTATAGATTATAAAACCAAGGAAATATGCTGCACTTCTACAAATCATTGGTCAGTCCACATTTGGAGTAGTGTGTTCAGTTTTGGGTACCTTATTTAAGGAAGAATATTAAACACCTTTGGAGAAAGTGCAAAGGAGATTTACTAGAATGATGTCAGGAATATGGGACTTTTTCCAGATACAAAGGGCTTATTCTCCTTGGAGCAGAAAAGATTAAGAGGTGACCTTATACCGGTGATCAAAATTATGAACAATTTTGACAAGATAAAGAAAGGTATTCTATTTCCACTAGTTGGTATGTCACTACCTAGGGAGTTACAATTTCAAGATTGTCAGGAAGAGATCTGGGAGTGAGATGAGGAGAAACTTCATTACTCAAGAGTTAAGATTTGGAGTGCACTGCCTGGGAGAGTGGTGGAGGCGGATTCCATAGGAAGCTTCAAAAGAGAGCTGGGTATATATTTGAAAGTGATTAAGTTAGAGGGCTATGGAGATAGTAGAACAGAATGGGTCAAGATGGCTAACTCTTTTGAGAGCCAGTATAGCCAAATGGCCTCCTGCTGTACTATAAAATTCTACATTTCAACATGGAGGTATCTTCAGTGTGAAGACATGACTGTCTCCAATAGGATTGTGCAGTGGTCACTTCTACAATGCCTTCATGGACAGAGATGGTTAGCTGAGCAGCACAAGGGTTAAAATACTGAAGCTTTAAAGCCATTTCTTACCTCAAATAGAAGAGAAGTGACAAAGTGCAATGCTACAAATCCCAGCAGCAAAAATTTAAATTTCACATCAGCGATGAGCATCAGCTGCATAATCTGGCGGACGAATTGGAGTGGATAAAGTGTCAGAAATACCATCAGAGTGTACAGCAGAATCAAAGAAAGCAGGAACAACACTGAAAGAAAAATGCAGAGTGCTGTCAGGTGTTTATTTCAATACTGTACACAATACAACATTTACATAGTACATAATAAAATTTCTTAATGCGTTTACAAGTATTTTTTAAAACAAAACTTTACACTGAGCCAATTGATCTATATGGACTTATAGATATCAGGGAATTAAATTTATTTCTTCATGGGGTGAGTGTTGTAATTACTTTTGAAACACTGGTATTTAGCCATCCTCTTGAACTCACAGTAAATTCACATTGCTAGGGAGTTCCAGAATTTTGACTCAGCAACAGCATAGCAATGACGACGTGGTTTGAAAGGGTACTTTGCAGGTGATGATGCTCCCACACATCTGCTGCCCTTCCAGGTGATTTGGTCTCGGATTTAGAAGATTACTTTGAAGGGGTCTTGAGTTGCTGCAGTACATCTTGTATATGGACCACATTGCAGCCACTGCGCACTGGTAGTGGGAATGAATCTTTGGAGAGTTAGATATGGTGCTAATCAAGCAGGCTGCTTTGTGTTGAATAGTGTTGAGTATTATTGGAGCTGCCTTATCACACCCTGATTAATCCCTTGTAGATGGTAGACGGGCTTTGGGGATAAGGTAGTGAGTTACTGCAGAATTCCTAGACTATGAACTGCTCTTATTGCCAAAGTGTGTGTGTTTCTGGTCCAACTAAGAGAATACATCGATTGTAATGCAACTGTTTTAAGTAGAAGACTCGGATTTATCAGGACATACCTCATCATTTTTCTATGTTGTCAGCTGATGCTGGTGTTCCAACTGTATGGAAACAGCTTAGCTATAATTCATACCTCTTACAAATTCCTAAACCTCAGACTGTCAGGGAATGGCCAGCCATCCAGGAAAACTGGCAGTGATCTAGTCTTACATATTTTATGACAAAGTGCTATCATCAGTCAAATGAACCAATTACCTGGACTTTTACACAATATTAATGGTATATATGGAGATTAATATTAAAACATCAAGGTGTTCAATTTACTGTGTTTTTAATCATAATCTTTACAATCCCATGAGATATAAACCATATGTAGCTCCAACACTTTAAGTAAAGAGACAACTACCATTAGAATAGAGTGGTTTGCGGAAGGGGTGACCCTTGGAAAGTACCGTTGCCAGGATGAGGTACTGGAACCCAGATACACAGAATAAAGCAGTGTTTTCGTAGTTCGGAAGTTTGTTAGAAGAACTGCCATTTAGAGGAACAAACCTTAAGAAACAGAAAAAAAACCGAATCTATAAAACTTCATCAGGACAAAGCACTGCAATCTGCTACAAACCATGGTCACTTCATAGCAAAGAAGCATAGTACTACAAAGCAATCACAAAGGGTGAACCTTTGGTTACATCAGGTACTTTCATTCAGTCTTAATTGGACTTAGGAACAGACCCCTGGATCCGACTCCCTCTGACCACTTCTGCAAAGACGAGAAGTAAACAAATGCCAGAAAATACAGGAATGACAACAGCTACATTTTAATTATGTGACTTTACCGTGTCCCCAAACGAACTTGTCAATTCTGATCACCTCAAACAGAATTCATGCATTTTTGACCACTGAAGATTAACCAGCCACTACTACACACAGGTTATAAAGTAACAGAAAAAAGCCATTAAGTCTGCACCAATCAAAAACAAGCACCTAACTACTCTAGAGATAGTAGAAATTGCAGATGCTGGAAAATCCGAGACAACAA